CACACTCATTTTTAAGCTGCAATTTAATTTTATTATTTCAAGCTAATGAATTTGGTTATTTAGCTAATAGAGTGTCTGAGAAAATTGCAGTAATTTTGTGAAAATTTTCTCCTGTTTGTCATTTGATTTTGACAGTGCATCTGCATACATGTGCAACTGCGATTTTTGTCCTGATTAGGATTTTCCATTGCCAATGTGATTACTGATTAGGATAACTCCATGTCTGCCAAGTGATGTGTGGGTGAGCAGTAAGCATAACTGTTAACTGGGATTTTTGGATTCGAGTGATAATTTTATCGCTCATGGCTGCAATAGCAGATTTCCATGGCAGGGAAGAATAAGCTCATTTGTCATAGCTGTAGGAAACGCTTGAAGATTTGTCCCGCGTATTGAAGAGTTTGGTTCAAATAAATGAAAATCTCATTCAATGCTACAATCCTCAAGAGATGAGAACAAGAAACTCAAGAGAAAAGCTTCATGAAATTGGACCGCATACGTTGTTGATTAAAACAATGTTATCTTATTCGTCAAGTTGGACCAATGTACTATTCTCCGGCAAGTGAGGGGGGATGCAAACACTACTACCACCACATAAATCCAAAACGCAGAATTAAAAGCAAAAAAAAAAAATCATTTCTTCAAGATTTGTTTCCCAATAAACTTCCAGAATTGATTATACAATCTTCATCAACATCGAAATGAATGATCTGTTGGCCTTTTTTCCGGTGAGCGTCAAGCAAAACTGCAAAATCCTTTCGTTATTCTCCCCCCTGCTGATCTGACACAAGTAAAAGCAATATTAGCAACTAGCCAAAGAAATGATTCCATTGTGAAAACAAGAGCATTGACCTCACCTAGCAGTTATGCAGATTCAAAATTTATAAGAATATAAAAGAATTGGAATATACAGAGCCAATAATTTAAATATATGGTGCATATTAAACTTCAGATATTGACATCATAACGAGGAAAGTGGAATAATTTTTTGCTATGATCAATAAAAAAGTGGAAATGGGTTTCACGATTAAGGGTTCGATTTGGGGATATGTAATTGGAGAAATGGATTCACGGTCACGATTTGGGGATATCTAGCAGTTATGCAGATTCAAAATTTATTAGAATATAAAAGAATTGGAATATACAAAATTTATGAGTGATGGGGTTGGATGAAATGAAGTTCAGTGGCCAATGAAACAATTAATGAAATTCAGTGAAACTCAGGGAAATACTTTTATTATTTTATCCTTGTTTGGTATGGGATAAAAATCAGAGTTTTGGTTAATTCTAATAAAAATTAATAAAATGTGTGATTAAAAAGTTTTAGATTCCATAAAATATGTAATAAAAATTAATTATTAACTTTAGCTTAAATTAAAACCTGCATTTTAATTTCCACCAAATTACGGGACTTGCTTTTTAAACAAAATTATTTAAAGAGTATTGGGTGTTATTATTTCTAATTTTATTTTATTTTTTGAAATCAAAATGGTCTTTAATTCTTTAATCAAAATAGGTACAAACAGTTTGCTGTTTTCAATTTTCAATTTTGCAAAATGTTAAAAACAGTTTAGTATAGTATTTGCGAAAATGAGTTTTCGAAAATATGGTTAAATCTATAACATAAAACTCAAAACATATGTTTTAATGTTTTGAGCATTTTAAATGAAAATTCTGAAAACATTCATAAAATTCTAAAAATTCAGTGCTCGCTACCAGTA